TCCCTCTCCTGTTTCTCACCCATAAGGGGAGGAGCTAAGTGAGCTTGGCTGACTTACACATTGCTCTGCTCTCACACATAGAACTGTGTCAGGCACATAAAGCTCTCAGTAAATATTTATCGAATGTATACATAAATCCCCAAGAAGCATGAAATCAAGGTGGTTAAAAATGCGGCCTTTAGAATTAGAAAGTCTTGCTTTGAGTACTGGCACTATTGGTCACTGGATATATGATCTTGGGCAAGAGACTGGAGCTCACCAAGACCCAGTTTCCTCCCATGGGAAATTGGAACAAGAATGATAATATCATAACTATAATATTATCAATAATTACTATATGAAGACTATATAAAAAACAAAGTTAGCTTAATGTAAACCCCAACACATTAATTATCATTATTCTCTGCTGTGGGGTGGAGAAGAGAATGAACTTGAGCTTCCAGTGGAAACCTTGTGTGATTGTCTCCGTTAAGCATGAATAATCACTGCCCTATGATGACTAAGGTTTCCTCCCTGTAGCCTAAAGATCTGTGCTTGCAGTCCTTGGCTTCTTTTCTTCCTGTATAAGGGACTTCTGCGTCAGGATGGACAAATGCTTCTTGTTGGTCTTCATCCTCTTCTGCTTCATTGGGGGTGAGTCACAGACCTCAGGAGTGGGCTTCAGAGATGGGATCTAGGGAGCCTCAGGAAACTCCACATGTGTATTAGGTATCCATGCAAGGCTAAGCCTTGACTACATTTATAAAGGAGGAGAAGCTAGCCTTCAAAATTCTCCCTTTGCTTTCCTGGCCAACTTTTCTGACCTTCTCGACATTCTGCCTTTCCCCATCAGGGGCTCAAGCCTCTGTGGTTGCTTCTTCATACTGCTTTCCCACTCTGCTCCTACCACTCCCTATAATCTAAAATCCTAGCAAGATTTTCCTTGCGACATCCTTTCCATTTATAAATCTGTATCCCATTTCAAGGGAGCTTTTCATTCTACAATGAATAATTTTGTAGTTTATTTTAGTGCTGGAAAATGGTTTTTGATACCCTTATTAGGGACTTTATATTAAAAAAAAGTAATTGTAGGAGAGGAAATACTGGATGCTCTGGAATTAGATAGATTAAAAAAATATGGTTCAGTCACTGACTTAAACTCCCTGTACTTCTGGTTGTTCATCTGAGAGATAAGGAAATAGCTACTTACGAGGTTTTAAAATCAGATACAAGCAGGAGAACATGGCCCCAATGAGATGCTCAATAAATGCTATTTTTTTCTCATGTAGGTGTACCAGTAAGAGTTGTTTAAAAAAATTAAACCTGTATTTTGGTTACCTCACCCTGTGGACCATGTAAAGTGTCATTGACTATGCTATAATTCATGAGACCTTAACAAGATTCAATTTGAAGTTCAAAATAACAGAATATATTACCTAACAATATCTAATCAGCAAATGTCAGAAATTCCATCATAGTAACACTAGGTTGGGTAAAATATTTTAAAGCACTCACCATCACGATCACACTCCTGTCTATCTACAGAACAGCCAAGCAGGCCAGGCCAGCATTAATAAAACCATTTTTAAGCTGGAAAAAACAATGCCATGGAGGCTAAATCTTTACTCAGTTACCAATGTTACAGGGCTTAAGTTGGACCAGAATTCTTTTATTCTCACAGGAGCATTTCTCTGGGCTGTGGAGTTGGTGAGAGCTCTGTTTTACACCTCTTATCCTACCACCAGCTCTTCTTCCACCACCACCAACCCCCACCTCATGCCGCTCACCCACTTCCCCGCTCCCCAGGCCTAGATACATCCAGCTCCACCTAAGTCCATGCATCCCCTGGCCTCACACCAGCTTTGTGCTTTCCAGCAGTGACACTACTGACGTGCATAACGTGCCACCTTTACCTGAACAAAGATCGTTGTAGAAAAAGCTTGGGTGTTTGTTTTGCTGGGAAGGATGAGACATGCATGACCTTAAAGATCTTCAAGGGTAAGTTAGAGGATTTGGGGGTGCTGTGAGATGCTTAAAACATTTTAGGAGAGTACTTCAGCAATTTTATATCTCAGACTAAGGCCAGTCCAGGAGAGCAACCAACGTGCAGAATGCCCCTAGCGTGGGTCCTGCAGACAAAAGAGAATTTGGGAAAATGAGACAGGAGGTGGAAAGTGGGCATTCTGTATTTCCAATAAAATTGACCAAACTGACTCCAACTCTGAAGACCCTAAAGCACTCGTTACTAATCTTCTAGCAGAAAAAGGAATGAAGCAGCTCTACAGAGAGCTGAGGGCCATCAGGGACCTCAGGCAAACAACCCCTGCAGGGGCCAGAGATTTTTACACCACCTGCCTGGGTCCTCTTGGGAGGTAAGAGCTGGAAAGTTATCCTTATTCCTCCTCTGATTCTTAATTACATTTTCACCAGTGCCAGGTTTGACTTGAGAAAACTTAGATCACTGGCTTATTTTTCCATGTTTCCTTCTTATTACAGGTGTTGATCTCCAGTTATTATATATGGAGTGTCAGAAATTCTGCAAAAACTTGACGTATGATCTCAACGGTCAGACTTATGTTCAGAAATGCTGCAACCGTGATTACTGTAACTTTGAACCCTGAGCTATTTGCCCTTCTAAGGTCTCACACTGTAGAATGTTATTGATGTTTCTCCTCCTTCACACTCTGCCTGCCCTTGTCTCCTGCCCGGTCCATCCTGGAACTACCTGGGCTCTCTCTATAATTCTGTGCTATCCTTTCTGGCGTCCCCAGTTTGGTTCTTGTCTCAGTCAGAGGATAATGATTCTTGACAACAGGTTTCTCCCATTACAGAAATTGGCTCGTCTTCACTCCAGGAAACTTTCCCTGAGAGGCCCAGTATAGTAACATTTAAAACAAGAGCATTCTAGAACCTTGTGTTTAGCTTAGATAGTTATGGTATACTCGAACTCCCTCAGTTGAAAATTCACAAATACTTATTTTTACCAAAAATTCCCATTATCATTACTCTAATTAAGCAGAAATTGCAACAAATTGGACGGTGGCACTTGAGATTTTCCTCTATAGATACAAAGTTATTTTCTCCAGTAAACAGTGTCCACTTCAGATTCAGTCGTGGTTTTCTTGTCATTTACAAAGTACACCTATATATTGTGTTAATTGGAAATAGAAAATAAAGATTTCCTGCTTCTGAACATTTACAGCTTACACACAGCCACTTCTAGGCCTGTCAAGATGTACACTCCAGATATATCACAAATCTCCACTTCTCCTTCCTCTCCTAATCTTTCTCTATTCCACTCTGCTTTGTCATCCACCTCCACTATCACCCACCTAGCGCCCACACCATTGCTGTACAAATTCTCCCTCTTCTGAATACCCAAGTCTCTTTACGAATACTTTTCTTGACACTGACAACCCATTTCTGTCTGTCTAATTTGCCCCCAGTATGTTATATATCACGGCAAGGGCAGGGACCATGTCTTACTCATCTCTATTGCTTTTGACTGGCCAGTGAAACTTCATTTTGTTTTACTGAGCAACCAGTAGAATTGAGGAAATTTTTTCTTGTCCATCAGTTTAGTTTGCAGGACTAATGATGCCTTCATGCTTTTCCTGGCTGTATACCTATTTTGTTGAGTATACCAAGAATGGTGACCTCTATTTTCTACCTGGCAAAGAAAATTCACTCCAGATGCTAATATATTATGTGTTTTCCTCAAAGTGATTGTGCAAAGGACATTTCTTATTATGGGACCCTCCGGTATTTAAATATCTTAACCAAAAATTATTTTTGATTGGATTCTTCCAAAACTCATTAGCTAATCTTACTTCAGAATTAATAATCAATATTGTTGTTGTACCAAGGTCTTATAAAATAAGCCTGGAAATTTAGAAAGGGTAATCTGGCCCAACGCTTTTAGAAATATCTGAAGGCACATGCTTTCCTGGCTTTAATGATGTCAAGATTGATCACAGAGGCTTGTTTGTTTCCAGATTCAACTATACAACATAAAATTTCCCTTCAGTCTTTCATTTTACAGTTTTAGACTCCATGAATTATTATTAATTAGATTTATTATTCATTGAGTCAAAATATAATTACTTTACTCTCTATACTACAGTATAATTCATATATAATAAAATCACATATTTTAAGTATACAGTTTGAAATTATATAATCATCATTTCAATGAAAATATAGAACATTTCTATCACCCCAGTAAGTTTCTTTAGGTAACCACCCACTCCCAAAGTATTATTCTAACTTCTATCACTGTAGAATAATTTTACATGTTCTTAAATGTATTTTAAATAAAATTGTAAAGTAGTGTTTCAGTCTGGTTTCTATCACTCACCATAACATTTTTAAGATTCATGCATGTTTCTGCTTATACCAAAAGTTTGTTCCTTTTTTCCACTGTATGTATATATCCTACAATTTATTAAATTGATTCTCTTATTGAGGGACATTGAATTGTTTCCAGGTTTGGGTTATTGTGAATAAAGCTACTATGGACATTCTTGTATAAGACTTTTGGTCGACATACACATGCATTTTTCTTGAGTTGGTAATTAAAAGCAAAATTTCTGAGTCATAAGTAGGCATATACATAATTTAAACAAACTGCCAAATAGTTTGCCAAAGTGATGGTACCAATATATAGTCATACCAGTATTTTACAAGAGTTTTAGTTACTCCACCATTTTCCACCACCAATTATTATTAGTCTTTTAAATTTTAGCTATCCTAGTGGGCATGAAGGAAATCTTGCATTTTCCTGATAATTACTGGAGTTTAGCCACTTTTTATGCCCCAGGTTAGAAAATAATTCATCCATATTTTCTTCTAATGTTTACATGGATCAAAATTACCATTTAGATTCTTCATTTGGAATTTATCCTTGTAAGAAATTGATCCAATCAATTTATTTGCATATGGCTGTCCAATTAGCCGAACAGCATTTATTTAAAAGTTTATATTTTTCTCAACTAATTTGAGATGGCTCTTTCATAATACACTGAATTTCCATTAGCACTTAACTCATATTCTGGGTTCTCTACTCAGTTAAATTTTTCTACCCATTACCTCTACCTCACGACACACACACACACACACGCACACACACACACAATTCAAACTGGATTGTAGGCTTAACGTGAAAAGTAAAAGAATAGAATTTTAGAAGAAAACAATATACATTTATAACTTTGGTCAAGGCAAAGTATACTTAACCATAATCTAAAAAGCAAAACTATTTTTTAAATGTATTTATTTTAATTAGTTTCAAGTATACAGTACATTGGTTAGACATCTATATAGTTCATAAAATGATCCCCCCAATTGCTCCCTCCCTCCCCTGAGCCTCCACCTCGCCAATATATTAATACTAACTGCATTCTCTATGCTGTGCTCCCCATCCCCATGACCATTCATCAGCTACTAATTTGTACTTCTTCAACCCTTTACCCCATTCTCCCAGACCTCCAAGTCCCCCATCCCTCTGTCCATCACCAAATTGTCCACTATATTTGTGAGTCTGACCTGGTTAGTGCTTGGATAGGAGCAAAACTATTTTTAAAAATCCATACATTTGACTTCATTAAATTAACAATGTATGCTCATCAAATGCATCATTAAGAGAGTGAAAATCAAGTTAAAAACTTTGAGAAGATATTGGTAATAGTTGCATCTTACATAGAACTTGTTTCCAGAACATAACAATAACTCTTACATCCTTCCTAGACAAAAACTGTCTTGCAAGAAATACTGAAAGGAAGTATTTAAGCTGAAATGAAATGGCACAATCAATGACATGAAAAAATACAAAAATATATAACACATTGATACAGGTAAATATACAACCAGACTAGAGAAATCTAATTGGTTGATGACTATATTCCCGACATTGTACTTTACATCCAATGACTATTTTGTAACTACCAATTTGTACTTCTTAATCCCTTCGCCTTTTTCACCCAGATTCCCAAACTCTCCTCCCATCTGGCAATCATCGGTTTGTTCTCTGCATCTATGAATCTGTCTCTTGTCTGTCTTTGTTTATTTTGTTCTTTAGATTCCACATGTAAGTGAGATCATATGGTATTTGTCTTTTTCTGTCTGACTTATTTCAGTTAGCATAATACCCTCTAGCTTCATTCACGTTGCGCAAATGGTAAGATTTTATTTTTTTATAGCAGAGTAATATTTTATTGCATATATGTACCAACAACACATTGAAAAGATGATACATTGTGACCAAATAGGATTTATCTCTGGGATGCAAGGATGGTTCGACATACGCCTATCAATAAATGCGACATACCACATTAATACCAAGCAAGATAAAAATCATACAATCATCACGTTAAGGAATTTTGGGGAACATGGCAGAGTGAGAGACGTCCTCAGACCTCTCTCCTTGAAACAATAAGTTGAACATCTAAAACTCAACAAAAAACGCCCAAACTGCACACTAGCATGTCTGAGCATGAGATCTGCGCACAAGAACTACCACAGGTCAAAACTCCGGGTGTCGGGTGGCAGACTGGGAGAAATAAAGAACCTGCCTCTCACAGCTGCTGGAGGTCCTTGCAGGAGAAGGAGGAGGAGAGAAGGTGCGGTGACTTTCTTGAACAACCCTGCCTGGAAGGGCCGGGACTTCTACGCAGCCAGCAGCAAGGCCCAGTCATCAGGACAGAAAACAGAGAAGCAGGACGGGACCACAGAGAAACCACAGTTGATTTTTACTGACCCCAGATGCAAAACCAAGGATGAACTGCAGCTCTCAATCCCCAAACTAGAGGGCCCCTCCCCCCATCCTCTGAGACCAATCACTGCGGAGCCCCAGAGGAATCTGAATAAATGCTGCAGAAACTGTTTGCTAACACTGACAGGGACTGAAACTGAGAGTAGCGAGTGTGATTAAATTTCTACAAGAAAATATTTTTTAAAAAAACATTATTTAGGCTTTATATAAAGCAGGGATCCAACAGGCTTAGATGCCACCTACTGGAAACCAAAAGAAAAGTGCCTTCTTTGTAGCAGGCTAAAGAGAGACCTTTATATAATAAATCTTCTTTCTGGAAAAACAGCAGAATACACTTCCATTTATGCCCAGGTGAAGAAATAGTCCATTAAACACCATGAACAACCAAGGTGACAAGGCATTTCAGGAAGAAAGAGAAAAATTTCCAGAAAATAAGCTTACAGACATAGAAATATGCAACTTAAATGACAGAAAATTCAGGATGGTACTTCTGAAAAAACTCAATGAATTCCCAAACAAGTCATATCAACAATTTCAGGAATTGAAAAAACAACTAGGTGAGCAGAACAAGGAGATTGAAACCCCCAAGAAGAACAGAATAGATCTTCTGGAGATAAAAAAAAAAAACAAAAAAAAAAAACACACTGCAAGAGCTGAAAAATGAAATAGCAAGCTTGGGAAATAGAGTCAATCATCACGTTAGATGCAGTAAAAGCATTTTACAAAATATAACACCCTTCATGATAAAAATTCTCAACAAATTAGATGTAGAAGGAAAATACCTCTACACAATTCAGACCATATATGACAAGCCCACAGGTAACATTATACATATGGTGAAAATTGAAAGCT